GATGCTGAGTAGGCAGTTGCATATACTGGCATGAGTCTGGGGTTCAGGGGACAGTTATGGATTGGCGCTATAAAATTGACTGTCCAGGGGCGCCTGGGTGGCTCATTCGGTTGAACGTCCGACTTCGGCTCAGGTCACAATCTCACGGTTCCTGGGTTCGAGCCCTGTGTCGGGCTCTGTGCTGACAGCTCAGAGCCTGGAGCCTGCTTTGAATTCTGTGTCTCCCTTCTCTCTGTGCCCCTCCCCCGCTCATGCTCTGTCTCTCTCTGTGTCTCAAAAGTGAATAAAGATTAAAAAAAAATTAAAATTGACTGTCCAGGGGCACCTGGGTGGCTCAGTCAGTTAAGCGTCTGACTTCAGGTCAGGTCATGATCTCACGATTTGTGGGTTCGGGCCTGGAGTTGGGCTCTGTGCTGACAGCTCACAGCCTGGAGACTGCTTCGGATTCTGTGTCTCCCTCTCTCTATTTGCCCCTCCCCTGCTCATGCTGTCTCTCTCTCTCTCTCTCTCTTCCTCAAAAATAAATCCTTTTTTTTTTTTTTAATTGGCTGTCAAATGTGGCAGGCACTAGCTACATGTGGCAATTTAAATGTAACTTCATCAAATGAAATAAAAATTTTAATTTCTCTGTTGCTCTAGCCAGATTTCAAGTACTCAATAGCTTACATGAGGCTCAGGGCTACTGTATTGGACAGTGAAGACATAAATATTTCCACGATCACAGAAATTTTTATTGGACAGCACCTTAGATGACATTTAATGTTATGAGGCTGGATAAGATCACCTAGAGAATTAGTGAGGGGAGGTGGTGAAAGGATTCAGAGACTGAACCCTTTACATAAATGGATATAAGTACACAAATCTGTGGCGATGGTAGGATAGTGAGGTGTCAAGGGCAGGCTTCCTGTTTTTTTTTTTTTTTTTTTCATGGACTAAATGGGGACTAGGACACAAGACATTCCAGAGTAGGGAATAGTGTATTTTAAAAGAAGTATAAAATAGCATGCGTGGTATGGTGGGGAACTATAAGAAAGCTGGCATTTCTGGAGCAAGGCCATATTATTTTAGTATAGTTAAACACACACACACACACACACACACACACACACACACACACAGAACTCTAAACCTCTTCTTTGCTTAAACAATTTGGGACTGATCATGAGGTGCTGAGGCTAATCAGTTCAGGTCTAATTGGAGGGCAAAATGAGAAGGGTAAAAAAATTTCCTCATCAACTTGTAAATTGTGAGCAAAAATGGATGTGAGAATTAAATTTAGGGAAATGGATATTTACCTCAGAACAGATACTATTTCTTCCAGTGATAAAAAATTAAGTGTGATGTTCACTCTCAATTTTTTGAAGCTTTGTTCGATAAAGACCTGGGAGGTACTTCAGCAGGGAGGGGGTTTCTATCTGGAGTGGGGGCAAACTGAAAAAAAAGTTGACGTACCTAATCAGCTATGGCTTTGATGAAATGTACTCATACACAATCGCCAAGCCCCATCCTGGAAGCCAATCATTTCAGAACATGTTTTTCCAAGATGTCAGTTTGTTTTAATAGTACGTTGCTATCCCCAAACTACCATATTCTTGGTTTTCTTTTTGTTATTCTTTTTTTTTTCAAGTTTGCAAAAAGCAATAACTAAGCCACAAGAAAAAACCCACAAAAATGCTGTTCACCAATTAAAAGAAACTCTTTCCATTTACATGTGTTTTGAACTAGAATAACCTAAAATTAAAAAAAAAAGATTTCATTAGAATAAAAAAAAAAACTTTTCAAAGTAGACTCTATTAGAATCTCACGTTGTCATTCTATGCTCCTGCAGTTAAAGACTATGTCATTATTTCCATTATACTTACCTCCTAATTTTCAGGGCTTATTAGCCCGGCTGTAAAAACTTGCTCCAGTTGAAACTTGGCAAGCTGACAAGGCTGCGTGCCAGAAGTAATTTACTATCCAGTGTGGTTTGCAAAGTAAAAGAAGCTATATATAATAGAAAAAGAAATGAAAAGTTCCTGGTTCCAAATATTTTAATGTGTGTAATGTGTGTCACCTCAAACTTTTCAGCTTTTGTTGTTAGCAACGTGAGATAACATGAAAGGTTTGAAAAGTACAGATGCTTTGCATTCACATGAAATTGAGGGCTCCGATGTTCTTAGGCATCAAAGACCAGTCTGTGTCTATCACTTCTGCTTGACTTTGAAGTCTACCCAGAGCTCTGTGAGGGGAGAAGCAGGCAGGGGACTTCGAACAAGGTAGGGGGATGGGATTCCAGGTGTCACACCTCTCATTATCACTGACATTAGGTACCTCTCTTTATCTAATAATAATGATCATCATCATAATAATAATGGAAAAAAAAAAGAGAGCGTTCCCTTCTTGTTTTTAATCGCTGAGCTGTCCATGAACTTAATGTTCGTGAATATTCTAAGGAATGGATAATTCTAAGGAAAAGTTCAAGTTTATTTTGAAGTTTACATGTAAGTACTTTGGGGACAAGAATAGATGTTTTAACTTGATCTGCAAATTCTGGCTACTGTTCATTTGTCAGAGTCCTTAAGACATTGTCTTGGGACCCTAAGTGAGACACCCTCTTCTCTATTTTCCAAACTGGCTCATAAGCACTGTAATGAGGTCAAATGTTTCTCCAGCATGAGGTGAGTAACATACACCTTTCTGAAATTAATCTTACATGACAATCTGGAAAAAAATCACAAAAGTTTATATTAAAACAAATATTAAGGGCGCCTGGCTGGCTCAGTCAGTAGAGCATGTGGCTCTTGATCTCAGGGTTGTGAGTTCGAGCCCCACATTGGGTGTGGAGATTACTTAAAAAGATGAAATCTTAAAAAAAAGAAATTGTGAACAAAAAAATTAAAAAATAAAATGAATAATAATACATTGTGGGCTAGAATGTAAAATTTGTATGGACTCTTTTGCCCAGGGAGAGGGCTTTGATCATTTGTGTTTCAATATTTTGACCCTGCCACATATATACAAATGATAATTGAAGCGTTTGAAGAGAATGATATCCTCAAAGAGAGGGTCTGCTCATTAATGCTTTCTTTTAAAGTGTAACTTTCATAAAGTGTACAAATCTTAAGTATGTATCTCAATGGATAGATTTCTACATATGCACATATCCATGCATATGTATAATGACAACCCAGATCAGCCAGGTATAGAACACTTCCAACATTCAGAGGGCTCTCCTGTGCCCCCTCCCAGTTAGTGCCTGTTAATCAATCTGACATCCATGGTGAGTTTTAAGGATCAAATGAAAGAATAAAAGAAATGTCAAGTTTTCCAAGGTGCACCTTAGAGCTCCAGACTCAAGAGCACTTTTTCTCTGGCCTTAGGGTTTCTTAACTAGAAAGTGTGCTCAGCTAAGGATTCTGAGACTCAATGGACATTATTCAAACACAATTTCTTCTGCCTGTACTGGGCTTCCTCTAGCAGGTGTGTTTTTTTGTTTGTTTTTTTACCTTTTCAAGAGCTCTTTGAGTTGATATTTTAAAACATTTGTGATCAGAGTGAGTTAATACATAAGGAACTTAGTACACATAGTGATTGGGTACATAGAAGCACTAGATAAGAGATAGCTATTATATTGAGATGTAGAGGAAATAAAAGAAGGCTTTGCCAATATTATTATAATAATTCTTAGAACAACATAAACATAGATGCTAAATTTGAAAATAAGGGAGGAGAGTATAGTTGATTTGAAAATCATAGGTATCTATCAAATTAGCCTTGATATGAAAGATTAAAATCTCTCAGCTGGCTGAGCCCCTTGGTCCTAAATAAATTTAGCAAATGCCTTTTGTTATTTTCTCAGGCATTTTTTAATTGAGCACTTATTATTTTCTAGGCACTGTTGTAAGCTCCCAGATGTCTTAGTGAACAAAGCAAATATTCCCTACCCATTTGGAGTTTACTATCTAGTGACATTCCTACTCTTACTCCTAACACAGACTGGGGATTTTTCTGTTACAAGGAAATTTCATCTTTATTTTACATCCCTGAGTTTCTTCCCCTCTCTCGTGTCTTAAAGCTGAGGGATCAAGAAATGAAGCTGAAGCCAACCTTTGCCTCACTTCTGAGACCAGTGGGGTAAAGTGTGAAAGGAAAACAAAAACAGGAAAGGCACAGAGGCGGAACATGGTTACCTGTTAAGCTTATTCCCTTTCATAAATCACAAGGTGCTAATGCAAATGTTGAAATAAACAGGTCTAGCAAGAACTCCTGCTTTGGTTTTTTAAGCATCTTCCAGAACTTAAAAAGAACTGATTCATGTAGTTATTATTTTAGGTTTAGCAATTATACCAACAATGTCGCTTCCAAGCTGAGTTGTCTGATGGTTCCCTTAGAAATGCTAACTAACTTCCTTGGGCAATGGTTTAAGGAGGGTTCATACCTTACTGATTTAGTTTCGTAACTCCCAAACTTTTCAATACCAAGCTCCCCTTTTCTAAAAAATATATGTACTTTCTGATACCCACCCAGGGCCATGTGTTTTTGAAAAGATCTTGTCTATAAAGGCGGAATAATTGTTTAAATAATGAAAAGGTCTTCCTATTTTAAGATGAATCAGCCAATTAGAGATTCTAATTGGCAGGTGAAAAACCGGTGTTACCACACTGGTTTACTAACCTAGCCGAAAGCAAAGCTATAGTGTTATGGATATCTGGTCAGTTTCCCTACGCTTTTCATTACTGACTTTTTGAAACGTTTACTATTGGAAGGCGAAGACATGGGCCCGCAATAGAATAAAAGGAGACAGTATTCTGCAGAAACGAGTTGCACTCCTTTCAGGTAACCCCTCTAGACACTGGGAGGCGCTCTCTCGACCCCCCGCCCACGTTTAGCCCAGGGCGCGTCTAGCCCCGCCCCCACTCTGGCCCCGCCCCTCCACTCCAGTTCACGTGAATCCTCCCGAGCCGGAGGGGTGCTCCGCGGAAGCCCTACAGTCGGCCTCGGAGAGGTGACAGTCGCCGCAAGGGCCGGAGGGCGGTCTCCGACGGCGGAGGCGGCGGAAGCGGAAAAGGCGGGACCTAGGGCGCACGTTACGTCAGCACGTGCGAACGCTAGGGCTAGGTCTCCGGAATAGATGGTGGCTGCTTCGTGCGCGTGTTGGCTGTCGAGAGGCTCGCCGGTGGGCTGTAGAGTTGTGACCTCATGGCGGAGATAATTCAGGAACGCATAGAAGATCGACTCCCCGAATTGGAACAGCTGGAGCGTATTGGATTGTTCAGTCATGCGGAGATTAAGTGAGAAAGAGCTGAGGAAGTGGAAGAGCTGGGGCGGGCTGAAGGGAGGGGGGAGCCTGGGGGGGCAGGGATGCCGGGGCACCTAATTGTGTTTATTTTTTGTAACATGGCAGAAGCCCATTTTCAGATTTTGTTGACTCCCAGAATTTCTCATTCGTTGCACCGTGGTCTGTTTGTACTGCTCTAGAGATGCAAACTGCAGTGGGTGCCAAGAGATAAATCTTTCTAGTAAGACTTGAAGATGGGGACCATTTAATTCAATTTCGTATTCTACCCCAGGGTTTAGCCAACAACGTCCGGCACGAGGTTGGCATTCAGTAATTTGTTACAATTAAGCCTAATATTTTTTAGTGGTTTTCTGTGACTGTTGCTGCATTTTACAATGGCTGGGAATGTAGTAATGTGACTATGGGGGCCTTGAAGTAAACCTTTGTTAGTGAAATGCAGCATAGTGTGGATTCAAAAACATGTTCTTTAATGTTTATTTTTGAGAGAGTAGGGGGAAGGGCAGTGAGACAATGGAAGAGGATCCCAAGAGGTTCTGATGCCAGGCTCTAACCCAAGAACCGTGAGATTATGACCTGGGCCAAAATCAAGAGTCCATTGCTTAACTGACTGAGCCACCCAGGTGTTCCAGCAGTGTGGACGCTCAGTGCGTGTTGAGGAAATGTTACTATTACCATTAACTAGAGACGGTAATTGACCTCGTACATCTTGCATTAAATTCTCTTACTATACACATGTTGTGTTTTCTCTTTAGCTAAATACAGTCAATCCTTTCCCATGAGTCCTTTGTACTGTTAATAAACCTTTCTAGATAGAGACAGTAGAGACAATCTAGGTGGTTTTTTTTTTTTTTTCTAGTTTGAGTGTTGGAAAACTCAGAAGTAAGGAATTTAGAAAAGATACTTGGTTATTATTAAAACCCAAGTGACCAGGATTTGGAGGGAAAGAAATCTTTACTAATATCACATACAAATAATGTAAAGTACTTAACATTATTTGCTTTGCTGGTGAGAATGTCAGTGGTCCTGGCAGTTGACTACAAGATGATTTTCATGAAAATTTTAAAATACTGGGCGCCTGGGTGGCTCGGTTGAGCATCCGACTTCAGTTCAGGTTATGATCTCACGGTTTGTGAGTTCAAGTCCCATGTCAGACTGTGCTGACGGCTCAGAGTCAGGAGCCTGCTTCGGATTCTGTGTCTCCCTCTCTGCCCCTCCCCTGCTCACACTCTGTCTCTCTCTCTCATAAATAAACATTTAAAAAAAAAATCCTGATGCACACACCCTAAGCACACAGAAGTAATCAGGTAAGAGAAAACTTGCTTATGAAGGATAATTTAGGAATTTCAGGTTTTGGAAATGTTTTAATATATATATTGTGTTTTAAATATATTAAAATAAACTTAAAACTCCAAAATTATTTAACTTCTGCTTTTTTCAACTGTTGTGTCTTAAATGGCTTTCTCCTCAGGGCTATCATTAAGAAGGCTTCAGATCTGGAATACAAAATACAGCGAAGAGCTCTTTTTAAGGAAGACTTCATCAATTATGTTCAAGTAAGTGGATAAGTTCACTACTTTTTAGTCCCCTCACAAATTTTAAATCAATTCTAGAATAGTGAGCTTGATTCAGTGTTTTTTGCAGAATTCTAGAATTGATGATTAAACGGGTAATTTTTGAACAGGAATAGAAGTGTTCTGGGAATAACGTTGCCCCACTAAGGCTTTAGTCCTTGGCAAACCGAAATTTTTTTTTTTTCCTTCTATGGAGTTAGTAGACCAGATACTGCCAAAGATACTGTGTATTAGGATTTAAGCAAGAGAATTGGCATACTATTTCTTGTGGGGAGACATAAAGGAGAGTGAGTTTGATGATGGTAGATGGTTGGAAAGTTAATATTTATGTGTCTCTAAGTCTACTACCTTAGAGGGATACTGCAAATTCTTCAGTACTATAAATGAATGGGAGACTTGAGTGAATCTAAAGTTTACATGCTAGACCAATTTTCAGGTAGAGGAGACTAGCTAATATGTTAGATAACAAAATCTGGACCCAGTGGTAAGATGTAATATTATAAGACTGGAGGTTTTCTGAGTTTAGATTGGAAAAACAACAACAGGTGAACAAATGAGACCTGGCTACGAATCTTGTACTTGGAAGAGGTTTGGGAGCTCATGGTGGGTTGCTATGTGGCAACTATACTTCAGGAATAAACTTGGAAAAGGACAAAAGAAAAAAAATAATGGACCATATTAACAAAAGTAGAGTGATGAGTAAGTTAGCTGAGCAAAGAACACTGCAAACAGTAGCCATTCAGAAGATGTTAGTTTGAAAAAAGGTGTTTTGCACTTAACAGACAGTGTCTGGAGCATTGTATTAGGCTTGAGACTGCATTTTAAGAAGGACTTTGAAAGGTTAGTTAAAAGGCAGCCAGGATGGAAACCTTGTTCTAGGAGGAATCATTGAAAGAATACAAATAGACATGTTTAACCTTAAGGAGACCTGAGAAGTGGCAGATAATTCCACTCTTCAAATATTTGAAGAGGTACCTGTGGATTAGGTTGATTAGCTTTAGAGGCCATAACTGAAATAAGTAAATTAAACACACACACACACACACACACACACACACTCCCACACGTACATACTTTCACTCACATCCCCGCCCTGTGCACACAACTGTCACAACCGTATAAACTTGCTATAAGACGTAAGTGGCATTTTAAATCAGTGAGGTTCTAGTTGTCCGCATTGAGGAAATAAAATTAGACCCCTCTCATATAATCAAAATGAAAATCCTTCTGAATGGAAAAGGTAAATTTGGGGAAAACTTTGTATCTCTACAAGAAATAAGAAAGAATGACTTTGAGGAGTAGGAGAGGTTTTCTTAAATGAGACTATGAAAGCACAATGACAAGAAGATTGATTTGGCCATGTTTAAAATAAGCATGTCTGTGCAAAAAAGGTGCCACAATGTAAAAAGACAAGCCACAAAATGGAGAAAATAATTTCGGTACATAAATATATGTGTATACGCGCGCGCGCACACACACACACACGTATAGACACTTTTTTTTTTTTAAGTTTATTTTGAGAGAGAGTGAGAGCAAGTAGGGTAGGGGCAGAGAGGGAGGGGGGAGAGAGAATCCCAATGCGAGGCTCAGTCTCACAGACCAAGAGATCATGATCTGAGCTGAAATCAAGAGTTGGACGCTTAACCGACTGAGCCACCCAGGTGCCCCGTAGCACGTATATTTTGAATCTAGAATATCTAAGGAACTACAGATTCAGAAGAAAATGACAACTATGAAGGATAAAAACAACAAAAATATGAACATGCAGCTCACAAAGGGGAAACACCATTCACTGATCAACTTATGAAAAGAATGTTAGCCTTATTAATTAATTTTTTTTTTTTTTTTGTTTATTTTTTGAGAGACCGAGACAGAGCATGAGCAGGGGAGGGGCAGAGAGAGAAGGAGACACAGAATCCCAAGCAGGCTCCAGGCTCTGAGCTGTCAGCACAGAGCCCGATGTGGGGCTTGAACTCACAAACTACGAGATCATGACCTGAGCCAAAGTCGAACACTTAACTGAGCCACCCAGGCACCTGCTCATGCTCTCTCTCTCTCTCAAAAATAAATAAATATTAAAACACACACACACACAAAAAGCATTCAAGAAAGCATTGTAATAAAGTCCAAAGTTTTGCTTCAGAATGATAAATAGTCAAGATAGTCATTTTTTCTGGGGAGGGAAAAGAGTGGAATTAGACATGATACATAGGGAATTTCGAAGCAAGTTTAATAAAATGTAGGCTTTGATGTAGCTGTGTAATAGCTGCTTGGGTGTTCTGTGTGCTTGAATATTTCATAAAGCACTTGTAAAATGAAGCATAGAATCTTGTGAAGCCTTAAGTTTTGTGTCTCTAACAGTCTTCAAACTGAGGCTTAGAGAGGAATTGAATAGTAGTGCTTTTTAGAGAACCTTAAGAGGTTTTAGTATATGTGCTGCCGAAGCGAGCACTAGAGAACCTTAAGAGGTTTTAAGTGGTCCTTCAGAGGGTAGGGTAGGGAGAACCAATTAGGCACAACTGTGTCTTTCATTTGCTTATGTTAAGCTAATATTTTTGCATGGTTAATTTACTCAAAGTTGGAACATGCTGTTGTAGACTAGAAAGTCTGATATTTTGAACCTTATGTCTTTTTTTTAAGTTTTTCTTTTTTTTTTTTATAGTTTGTTTATTTATTTAAATAATGTCTATTCCCAACGTGGGGCTTGAACTCATGACCCTGAGATCAAGAGTTGTGTGCTCTTCTGACTAAACCAGCCAGGAGCCCCAAATCTTAGAAATATTATGATTTTAGAAACATACTTTCTTTGCATCTAAGATGTTTATATGCTTGCTAACATATGGATTTATGAGTTTTGTAGATGTAAGGTGAATTATCACTGACTTTTAACAGACATTTACTACAAATTATGCATGATAGCATATTATCTTCTTTTATAGTCTTTTTTATTTTTATTTTTTATTTTTTTCAACATTTTTATTTATTTTTGGTACAGAGAGAGAGCATGAACGGGGGAGGGGCAGAGAGAGAGGGAGACACAGAATCGGAAACAGGCTCCAGGCTCCGAGCCATCAGCCCAGAGCCCGACGCGGGGCTCGAACTCACGGACCGCGAGATCGTGACCCGGCTGAAGTCGGATGCTTAACCGACTGCGCCACCCAGGCGCCCCTATAGTCTTTTTTTAAAAAAAAATTTTTTTAAAGTAAGCTCTGTGCCCAGCGTGGGGCTTGAAGTCATGACCCAAAGATCAAGAGTTGCATGCTTTACCGGCTGAGCCAGCAAGCTGCCCCAATCTTGTTTTATATTCTTGATTTTTATTTACTTTATGATTTTAACTAAATTCAGTTCCTGTTATAAATTAAGGTTTATAAATTAAAAGGTTATAATTTAAAAGGTTATAAATTTTATTGTTTTTTTTTATATGTTTTTCTTCCATAGTATGAAATTAATCTTTTGGAGTTGATTCAGAGAAGAAGAACTGTAAGTAGATATTCTGGAAATTGGAAAAAATTTAGATTAGGTAGTGTGGCTCTATAGCTAGAACTTGGGTTTGGGAAGCAGTTGGCACTGATAAATTGTGTGGTGCTGTGTTCGTAATGGGTGTTGGTAATCATTTGTTTTCTTTATCAGCACCTTTTTAAAAATATTTATTTATTTAGAGAGAGTGCACGCAAGTGGGAAAGGGCAGAGAGAGAGGGAAAGAGAATCTAAGGAGGCTCCACACTGTCGGCACAGAGCCTGATGCGAGGCTTGATTTCAACCAACCGTTAGACGATGACCTGAGCGGAAATCGAGAGTCAGACGCCCAACTGACTGGGCCATCTAGGCACCCCTATCAGTACAGTTTAAGATCAAGTAGGAATGTTGTTATGGATAAATGTGATTAAATTGAGGCTTTGTTTTTTTTTTTTAATGTCACCTTTAAGCGCATCGGGTATTCATTTAAGAAGGATGAGATTGAGAATTCTATCGTACACCGGGTACAAGGTGTCTTCCGGCGTGCTTCAGCAAAATGGAAAGTAAGTGATCAGAGCACCTTTAATTATAAGAGATGTGAAGAGATGTATTATATGTATTGTGTTTCAGTATTCAAATGTATTGTTTATTCTTGGGTGTCTCAATATTTAACCTAATAATGGTATTATTTGAAACCACTTATCAAACCGTGAAGAAAATTGATCTCATTACCTTATAGTTCTTCTTTGAGGATGGCACTGAAAAAGGTGGATTCGATACATGGTTAAGGATTAGAAATTTGGGATGTATGGATAAATCTCTGAGTGAAGAACACTGAAGACTTGGAGGGGAAGATAAATGGTTAGAGTAGGGGCAGCACCTCACTAACTTGATGTTCTTCAAGTTGGGCTCTGGGACTGGGAGTACTTTAGATCCTGGGAATGACAAATTTGGGGTTGCTACCCCTGATTGAGACCAGTTAAGAACTGCATTGAGCAAGGGGCGCCTAGATGGCTCCGTCTGTTAAGCATAATTCAGGTTATAATCTTGCGGTTTGTGAGTTTGAGCCCCATGTCAGGCTGTGTGCTGATAGCATGGAGCCTGCTTTGAATTCACATTCTCTCTTTCTTTCTCTCCGCCCTTCTCCTGTTCTTCTCTCTCAAAAATAAATTAAATAAAATATTTAAAAAAAGAAAACAAAGGGCGCCTAGGTGGCTCAGTTGGTTAAATGTTTGACTTCAGCTCAGGTCATGATCTTGCGGTTCGTGAGTTCGAGCCTCACATCAGGCTCTCTGCTATCAGCATGGAGCCTGCTTTGGATCCTCTGTCTCCCGGCCCCCTCCGCCGCCGCCCCTCCCCCTCTCCCCTCACCATTAAATATAAATACACATTAAAGAAATGAAAACAAAACTGCATTGAGCAAATTGGATAGACAACAAATTTTGTCTTGGAGCATGGTAGGTGAGAACGGGTGGCCAGATGGAGTTAACACATTTAAGAGATCTAAGACCTCAGTGAGTAACAGCCTAATAGGCTGAGCAATGTGTAATACGTTGGCTTTCCTGAAATTTACCTCTCTTTCTAAAAAAAGTTAATTAGTGCAAAAGTGTATTATGTATTAAGTTCAAATTCGAGCAGCTTACTACATTGCTTTTCTTGCAGGATGATGTTCAACTTTGGCTATCCTATATAGTCTTTTGTAAGAAATGGGTGAGTATTGCGCAGTTGTGTCTTGCTTCCTTGTTCTTTTAGTAAGTCTGCCTTTTAAGCTCTGTGCTTGAGTACTGAACTCCATGTTTTCTCCAAAGTTGTAGGGTTAGTAAATCGGAAAAGACTCCAAGAAGGCTGAACTTCCGTGTAACAACATTTGCATATCTGAAGACTATATAAATGGTTTCTAAGTCAGAAGATGATCTTTGTTGTGTGTATTTATTTAGTAAAGTTAGATTTGTTTAGATACTTAGAATGTTTGCATGTAGTGGTTTAGGTAGAAAAAACTATGAGTGTGTCTATATTTGTTTCTATGTCCCTACAAGAGCATATCTTGCCCCATTGAATTTTGAGTTGGTAAGGAAACAGTACAGATCACTTAGAGATGACTAATAATGAGTTCAGTGTATAGGAAGTAGAATTGCTTTTTCTCTCTTACAGGCCACCAAAGCTCAACTTAGCAAGGTATTTTCTGCCATGTTGGCCATTCATTCAAACAAGCCAGGTATGGTGAGATCCTTGTCAGTTCTTCTACCTTTTATGTAGACTCAAGCTATTTTGGCATTTATTTTGCTTCATAAACTTAAAAGAAATTAGTTTGAGAACTTGAGCATAGGTACTAGGCCTCAGCAGTTCTGGTTTCTGAATAGCTGCCTCTTAGTTCCTCCCTGTATATTGTGTATCATTTATTGTGTTGAGTATTGTATCTGTGGGTAAGAAGGACTAAATTTTTTATTTACTTATTTATTTACTTATTGATTTATTTTATTTTATTTTATTTTTTTTATTATTTTTTTTTTTTAATTTTTTTTTTTAACATTTATTTATTTTTGAGACAGAGAGAGACAGAGCATGAACGGGGGAGGGTCAGAGAGAGGGAGACACAGAATCTGAAACAGGCTCCAGGCTCTGAGCTGTCAGCACAGAGCCCGACGCGGGGCTCGAACTCACGGACTGCGAGATCATGACCTGAGCCGAAGTCGGCCGCTTAACCGACTGAGCCACCCAGGCGCCCCTTGATTTATTTATTTTAAAAAGTGTTTTATTCATTTATTTTTAAAGTATGTTTTACTTTATTTTATTGTTATTTTTAAAAATATGCTCTGTGTAGGGCGTCTGGTTGGCTCAGTACGTTAAACCTCCAACCTCGACCCAGCTCATGATCTCATGGTTTGTGAGTTCAAGCCCCATATCGATCTCTGCTGTCAGTGTGTAGCCTTTTTGGGATCCTCTGTCTCCCTATTTCTGCCCCTCTCCTACTTTCTCTCAAAAATAAACATTAAAAGTTTAAAAAAAAGTTCTGCATGCAACATGAGACTTGAACTCATGACCCAGAGATTAAGAGTCACCTGCTCTACTGACTGAGCCAGCCTGGCACCCCACTAAGTTTCTTTTTAGATGATGATAAAAGAAACTCTTTGGTCCTTTGAGAGACATTCTATTTGGATGTATTCACATTTAAGGGGCACTTAGAGGGGAAAACTTAAAAACTTAAAGGGGAAAATGTTAACGCAGATTTTGCAAGAGTGCCTGGCACATATTAGGTACTCATGTTTTGTAAGAGAAAGACTTCTCTTGTGAATACTGTGTGAAATAGCACATAATTTTATAGGGGAGGTACTCCAGTGCCTATTCTCAAGTATTAGGCTCAACCAGGTTCATGCTACACAGGCTAAGATAGGCCACATTTGGCACCAGTTAATTCACCAGAGGCTACAGCATTAGGTGAGAGTCTTTAGTAGAGTACTGTTAGCAATTTGGAGGCCAGTCCTTGGTCCCCAAGATGACAGTTCAGGTGTGAGGGAATGAGACCATGTGAATGGGTAGAGGAACAGCTCTGATTTAGAAGTCCTGTGGATGGGCACAGCTTCCAGGGATCCTAGAAAGGACTGTGCTCGATTTCAGGAGTCACATGCTCAGGAAAGCCCAAAGCAGTCGCGCTCTCTCATTAATAACCCTTCTAGTCCAGACGTGGTTACTAACCATGAGTCATTTTTACCGAAGGCAGTCTTGTCTGGTAACATAGCTGACTTTTATTAAGTTTCTAGGGAAATAGCTGGAATGTTAACTCGACGTTGATTTCCTGTGTAGAAAGACAAAGGTTTTTGTTTTTAAAGCCTTTATTCCCAACAGGTGTGATAAAAATTTTATTTTTAATGTTGAGCCATTCAAAAGAAATTATAAACTACTTAAATAAAGAAAAAGAGTGAAATATTTTTATTTCATGGATTCTAAGATGCACAATTTCTTCCAGTATTTTTATAGTTCTAAAGTTTATGTGTGACTTATAGGGATGTTGATCTTAGATTGAATGAGGCACATAAGTACCCACAGATGTTATCATTTGCCTCTTCGCTTCAGAATATTCTAATTTTTATTTATTTATTTTTATTTTATTTAAAGTTTAGTTTGAGAGAGACAGTACACATAAGCATGCGGGAGAGGCAGAGAGACAGGGAGAGAGAGAATCCCAAGCAGGCTCTGTGCTATCAGCTCAGAGCCTGACACGGGGCTTGAACCCATGAACTGTGAGATCATGACCTGAGCTGAAATCAATACTCGGATACTTAACACACTGAGCCACCCAGGTGCCCCAGAATACTCTAATTTTAGGTAAAGCAGCAATACTTTACAAATAACCATTGAAATTCCCTCTCTCCATCCCTTTCCTCTTTTGGGAAGATTAAAAAAAAATTCTTTGAGTATTAAAATTGGAGCATTGATCTTTTTTTTTTAGTCTGACTTGATTGATTTATTGAAATGAAGTCTGATGTTTTTTATTTATATAGCTTTGTGGATTATGGCAGCCAAATGGGAAATGGAAGATCGCTTATCTTCAGAAAGTGCAAGACAACTATTTCTTCGAGCTCTGCGCTTTCATCCAGAGTGCCCAAAACTTTATCAAGAAGTGAGTTGTGTACCTGTAAGGTGAAAGAGTGATGTCTCAGTTTTGGTCCTCTGTAGACTTACATTCTTGATTAAGTTAAAAAGACTTGGATTTGTGGAGGCTAGGGATAAGTAGAGGAGCTGCTGGAAAAGGAGAGCGGCGAAGCTGTTTCTTGGCCAGTGTTAGGTGTTGACCATGTGCATCTTCCAGGTTGTTAGTGAGAGATTAGAACTCTTACTGCCCATTATGGTTGGGAGGGGTGGGGAACTGGACCCTACCTATTTTCGTTGTGGGGCCAGGGTTCAGCCATCTTTATACCTTTGTTGTTTTTTCCCTTGCATCTACCTTCCCTACTTCTTATCTTCTTTCTCTCCTTCCTTTCTCTCTCTTTTTCTATCTTCTTCTTTTGGCTTCTCTTCATTTTTCCCCACTTATTCTTATTGTCTCTTTTTTCTTGAGATATATCCCTCCTTCCCCTCTTGCTGGACTTAACGCCTTAGAGGGAGGCACTAGAACAGTGATGGCCAGACTTTCAATTAAGAAAAAAACAAGTGCTAAAAATGGTGTATTATTAGAAGCTGCCCTTTTTTGAGGTATTTGTCAGGATAAGGGAGAAACTACTGTCTTGTCTTCAATTGAAAATGAAGCCTTACTTGATGGAAAAAGATGTGGGTCTTTTTTTTTTTTTTTAATTTTTTTTTTTCTATGTTTATTTTTGAGAGAGATACAGAGCGCTAGCAGGAGAGGGGTAGAGAGAAAGGGAGACACAGAATCTGAAGCAGGCTCCAGGCTCTGAGCTGTCAGCATAGAACCCAGCGCGGGGCTCGAACTCATGAACCACTAGATCATGACCTGAGCCAAAGTCAGATGCTTAACTGACTGAGCCACCCAGGCACCCTGATTTGGGTCTTTATGCTTGTAGGTTCTGTAGCTGTCCTAACTAGTGATTTTTGGTCTTGTAGTTCTTTAATGATGTTTTATATTGCAGCTCAGCATTTCTTCCCTTGTTTTCATATTCTTTTCGATATCCCTTTGCTACCTGTAGTATTTTTTTTTTTTTTAATTTTTTTTTTTTCAACGTTTATTTATTTTTGGGACAGAGAGAGGCAGAGCATGAACAGGCGAGGGGCAGAGAGAGAGGGAGACACAGAATCGGAAACAGGCTCCAGGCTCTGAGCCATCAGCCCAGAGCCCGACGTGGGGCTCGAACTCACGGACCGTGAGATCGTGACCTGGCTGAAGTCGGACGCTCAACCGACTGCGCCACCCAGGCGCCCCGCTACCTGTAGTATTTTGATTGAGAAACAATAAGTATCACTTCTCCCTGCTGTTATAAGGTTATTTTATGGAAGTATTGTTTATGTTTTTTGGAAGTTTTCCTATTAGAGGGTGCCTGGGTGGCTCAGTCGGTTTAAGAGTCCACCTTTGGCTTAGGTCATGATCTCACTGCTCGAGAGTTTGAGCCCTGTGTTGGGCTCTGTGCTGACAGCTCAGAGCCTGGAGCCTGCTTCGGATTCTGTGTCTCCCTCTCTCTCTGCCCTTCTCTCGCTCACGCTGTCTCTCTTTCCTTCAAAATATAAATAAACTTTAAGAAATTTATAAAACTTTTTTTCACATTTATTTATTTTGAGAGAGAATGCAAGTGGGGGAGGGGGAGAGAGAGAGGGGGAGAGAGAATCCCAAGCAGGCTCTGCATTGTCAGCATAGAGCCCAACACAGGGCTCGATCGCACAACTGTGAGATCATGACCTGAGCTGAAATCAAGAGTTAGTCCCTCAACCGACTGAGCCACCCAGGCACCTCCTGATGGTTAATTTTATGAAATTATAATACATATATTAATATCAGGAAATTGACATTGGTCTAATGTGTGCATATGGTTGGTTCTCTGTCATTTTTTTTTTTTATTTTACATGTGTAGATTTGTGTAACCACCACCACAATCAAAATGCAGAGCTGTTCTACCATCACAAGGAACTCCCTTCTTGTCAGTGTCATCTAGTTTCATAACAAAAAATATCACGCTATCCCCAGACTTTCACAGATCTGATATTTATGGGTAAAAAATGGCATCTTATGTATTTCTAATTAAAAAAAATATATTTCCAAAGATTTTCAGTTTATAATTTCCCTTGTATAGTACTTTAGGATGGAGTTGATGCATACTGAGAAACTGAGGAAGGAAAAGGAAGAATTTGAAAAAGCCAAAATGGATGTGGTAAGATCCGAACGTGTCATCACACATTAACAATTAATAGTGCTTTGAGCCTTCTTAGGAATAAGAGACAATTTTTTAAATGTATTTTTTATTTAATGCCGGTTTTGAAACTTTGAGATGAATCTAGAGTTGATTTAATTAAACGGGCTTAGTAATAAAAATGGAATTCTGTGCTTTAAAAATACACATTTGGACTGTTTGAAGTAGTCTTCAAAATAATTTATTATTGATAGAAGGGTAAATGGTTTCCCTAATACTTTATGGTTTCATTAAATGACATACTAATGGGTTGAAGGAGCTCGAGGAAGGTTGTGAAATGTGTGGTTCCTAGCTTTTTATATAATTTTTTTGGTGACGGTAATTTTAAAGAAAAGTTTTAGAATGTTTGAGCTGAAAAAGGAACTTTGCTATCATCTGTTATTGTGGTTTCCAGCTGTGAACTTTTTTATTCAAATAAAAGTTTACCCAGAAGGGTAAACAAGCCATGTAAAACCTGACCTGCTCTGGTCTAAGTAGAGTCAGGCCTTAAGCCATGTGATCTTGCTATTGCTCTAGGAGCCTGAGAGAACACATTGGGAAGGTCAGTGGTCTTGTTCAAGCTGCACATTTTACAAGTGAGGGAAGTGGCCCAGAGAGAGACGTGGTTTGCCAGAGGTCATATGGCACAGATAGTCTAGGGCTGTTAATTTTTATCCTAGTGCTTTTTCTAGTTACTGGCACTGTCAAGTTATGTTTACTATAATACTCTTTAGGGGAATCTTGATTATCCTGAAGAAATCCTTAAGGGCGAGTTGGCACGGATTATCTACAAAAATTCTGTGAACATAATTAAAGGTACGTATGTTTTGAATATTTATTTATGATGGAAAGTGCAACATTCTATTTTTATGACATTCTATTTTATATTTTAATGCTTATTTTTTAGAGAGAGAAAGATTCAGAGTATGAGTGAGGAAGGGGCAGAGAGAGTGGGAGACGCAGAATCTGAGGCAGGCTCCAGGCTCCGAGCTGTCAGCACCGAGCCCGATGCAGAGCTCAAACTCACAAACTACAAGATCATGACCTGGGCTGAAGTCAGTCACTTAACCGGCTGAGCCACCCAGGCGCCCCGGTCTTCCTCATTTTAAATAGAACATTGTGGGGTGACTGGGTAGCTCAGTCAGTTAAGCATCAAACTTCAGCTCAGATCAAAATCTTGCAGTTCATGAGTTCAAGCCCCTTGCAGTTCATGAGTTCTGCCCGGATAATGCAGAGCCTGGTTGGGATTCTCTCTCTCGCTCTCTCTGCCACACCCTCCCCACACATATTTGCATTCTCTCTCTCTCAAAATAAACATAAAAAAAATTAAAAGGGAAGAAGACCTTCAGCTAATGTTGAAAATTTGTTAGAAATTCTGTTAGATGTATATAAAATTCTATGGGAATAGTGTCCTGTTTCTTTCAGAAAACATTGATAGTCCCTTAGGGTATACTTGAACATTTCAGTAAGTTTATCGAGTATTTAATTCACATGGAGAGTTGGAAAGAAATAGGTGATTTAGAACATTTCTTTATGCTTTTAAGATGTTTAGAAGAAAAGAAGTACTTATGAATACTCTAAAATATCACTAATGACTTTGCTTGTGTAGTGGGGCTATGGGTGATTTTTTTTTTTCTGTTTTGTCCTATTTCTCAAATAATACAAAAGAATTAGCTCTAGTACATCAAGAAAGTGGTACTTTCTTGTAGAAGAAAGTGGTTCTTTACAGTAAAATGACACTTGACAGTCTTACTCCCCTTCCCAATTTTTAAAATTTTAGGTGCAGAATTTCACGTGTCACTGCTTACAATTGCACAGCTATTTGACTTTGCCAAAGATCTGCAAAGAGAAATTTATGATGAGTAAGTAAGTTCGTGGAAAGGTGAATATGTCTATTTCCGATCTTGTGGTAAAAGTTTGAGGTTGGGTGTTTAGAAAGAGGGAAAGAAGACACTATGCTAAGTCCTTGGAAGAAAGCAAGGTTTTAGGGCTATTGTATCATAGTAAGTCATAGAAAAGTAAATATCTCTGGAGAACTTGTTTGACTCACTTCTGGGCTTCCCTTGGGAGTTAGTTTGTCTTTACTCAGTGACAAACATATCGTACAGCTGATATCAAGACGTATATTTCTGCTGTGCTGGTATGTCTTTTGTCCATAGAATGAGAGTGGTCCTCATAAAGGTTTGCAGGTGATTGCTGTAGGTTATTTTATTCTTTAATGTTGGAGCATATTGTTTGAGAATTTTTTGCAGCCTGCCTTGTGGGTACATCACTCTTAGGTAGCACCCCTTACTTTCACAGGAGATAAAACAGAACTTGGCTTGTTTGCCCTTTGGATGCCTTCAGAGCTTTGGTAGAGGTTTAGGTCATGCTTTTTTTTTTTTTTTTCTTGCCTCTGTTACAGAAAATCAAGAGCCTGGATATAAGGTTCTCCAGGGCTCGAGGACTGTCTCATCACACATACCTGTTGATTTAACTTTGAGAACTAACTTGTGAATGAAATCTGAAACATTCTGAAACCTAATAAATGTGCCACAACTCTGATTGGTTGACAAAATTTATGCAGTGAGCGTGAAGATCTCTGGAGGGCTTGCTGGGGAATTGTCTCCTGGTAATGGAATTGTTAAGGGGTGTCCCGAGTGCACTCTTAAATTTTTTTTTTTTTTTTAACGTTTACTTTTGAGAGACACAGTGTGTAAGCAGGGAAGGGACAGAGAAAGGGAGACAGAATCCGAAGCAGGCTCCAGGCTCCAAGCTGTCAGCACAGAGCCCGACACGGGGCTCGAACTCATGAACCGTGAGATCATGACCTGAGCCCAAGTCGGCTGCCCAACCGACTAAGGCACCCAGGTGCCCCTGGGTGCATTTTTAGAGCATTGAGAACTGTCTGTTTGATATTGAGTTAAGTTTCGTGTCATAGGGCTGATGCCAGCGAACTGCTTTTCAGCCTTCAGGCTCTACACACAGATGACCCTCTCACTTGGGATTATGTAGCACGGCGAGAATTAGAGATAGAGTCACAGCCAGGAGGAGAGCAGCCTGCGACAAAACAAGCCAGAGCAGTGGAGGTGGGCCGGAAGGAGGAGAGGTGCTGTGCTGTGTATGAAGAGGCGGTGAAGACTCTCCCTACAGGTGAGCTTCACCAAACCTTGGGGTGGTGTCGAAGTTAGTATTCACGAATGGGAAGCCGAAGCTTCCGTTCCCATTACCAACGTCAGTTTCAGGATTCTCTCTGTGCTAGTTTACAGTGTGCCTGCCTTTCCAACTTGTTCTGTGGTGGTCAAAGATGGAGCTTTGATGACCTTCCTCGATAGTAGTAATGGTATCCGTTTGGGGGAAATGGTACATAGGAAATGATAATTCAGAAGATTGTCATTCTCTAATTCTCTTTTCTTTTTTTTTATTAAAAAAAAAATTTTTTTTTTTCAACGTTTATTTATTTTTGGGACAGAGAGAGACATAGCATGAACGGGGGAGGGGCAGAGAGAGAGGGAGATACAGAATCGGAAACAGGCTCCAGGCTCTGAGCTATCAGCCCAGAGCCCAACACGGGGCTTGAACTCATGGACCGCGAGATCGTGACCTGGCTGAAGTCGGACGCCTAACCGACTGCGCCACCCAGGCGCCCCTAATTCTCTTTTCATACAGACTTGCTTCCAAATTTTATATATTGGAGTGTTAATGTTTAATTTTTGAGAGAGAGAGCGTGAGCAGGGAAGGAAGGGGCAGAGAGAGGGAGACACAGAATCTGAAGCAGGCTCCAGGTTCTGAGCTGTCAGCGCAGAGCCCGACGCGGGGCTTGAACTCAAACCAGCCATGAGATCATGACCTGAGCTGAAGTTGAACGCCTAACCGACTGAGCCACACAGGCTGCCCTTTACTTTTTATAGTTAAGTCATTACTCAGTGTTTGAGATGTTTGATTAGCTGTAATCAGAATAACTAGTTTTTTCCACCGGACTAGCTTAAACCCTTTTTCAGAGGAATTTTCCCTTCAAAGGAAAGATGTATGATGACTGTTAAATGGAGAGAACTAGTGATGTGATCTGCATAATCTGACTTTTCCAGAGGCCATGTGGAAGTGTTACATCACGTTCTGCTTGGAAAGATTCACCAAGAAGACAAGCAGTCAGTTCCTCAGAGAGAAGGTGAGGACCTACGTTACATGGTTATAGTGGCTGACTAGAAAGTGACTGTTTTCTGTAAAAAGAGCAGACACGTGGCTCCTTTGGGGCCTGGGACAGCTTCCAAGAACTTAACCTGAGCTCTTTTCCCTTGTGGTTGACCTGTCATTCTGAAGGTCTGAGCCTGCTGTATCCTTTTTCCGGCCACCTGATTAAGAAGCACCCTGTTACTGGGCTGTGTTTGGTGTGGCTGTTTAGCTGGTCTAATCATAAGGGAAACTACCTCAAGTTCCTTTTCTTGGTTGCACTTGTTCCTGTCAGAGGCCACAGACCCCTGTGGGGATGTTTGTAACGAACTGAGAGATTTTTCTGATTTCAGAGGCTGGAAAGAACCATGATGGCGTTCAGGAAGGCACATGAACTCAGACTTCTACCGGAATTTCAGTACAAGCAGTGGGTAAGGGCACATTCACTGCCAGTAACATGTACTTGATTCCAGTTGGCTCATGATGGTGTCATGTGTTTTAATATATTGTTATGTGTTATGTGACTAAACCCATTTGGATGTTTGGTATGGAAGATGAGTGACATTACATTTGACTCTCGGTATTTGGTATATGCCAGAAATGAAATCTGTACAGTAAAGAAAGGAATGTTACGTGGTGGAAAATAGCCAGAATAGGGAGTCGCAACTTGGGTTTATTTTGTTTACCCATACATCTTGTCCTGAACATCCCTTTCCTGAATATATGCCTAGCCCACATTAGGCATTGGTACAATAAAAATAAAGAGAGATTAGATGTGTTCCTGTGTTTCAGAAGCTGACATTCTAGTAAGAAACCTGTTAACCCAGGCCTACTTTCTGGGGTGGGTGAGGATTGGTATGGAGACCAGGATAATGCGCTGAGGTATTTCTACATTGGGTTTTGTCACTTACTAGCTAGATAACTTGGGCAAACCGCTTAACTTTTCTGAGTTTGTTTACTTGATTTTAAAACAGTGTTAGTGAGGAGCATCTGGGTGATTCAGTCAGTTGGGTGTCCGATTCTTGATTTCGGCTCAGGTCATGGTCCCAGGGTTGTGAGATCAAGCCTGGCCTTGGTTTCCGTGCTGAGCATGCAGCCTGCTTAAGATTGCCTCTCTCTCCCTCTCCCTCTTTCTTGCATGCATTGTGTGTATGTGTGTTCTCTCTCTCTCTAAAATTAAAAAAAAAAAATAGTGATCCTTGTTTTTGGCAGCTCACAAAGTTGTTAACTTACACAAAAATGTTCGTATGTTAACATTTAAAAAATACTTGTTAAGAGTTTATTTTTGTTTTTGAAAAAGATACAAAGGGCAAACGGGGGAGGGGCAGAGAGAGGAGGAGACAGAATCCCAAGCAGGCTCTGCTCTGTCAGCACAGAACCCGATGCACGGGGCTCGAACTCACCAACCCTTGAGATCATGACCTGAGCCAAAATCAGGAGTCGGATGCTTAACCGACTAGGCTACCCAGGTAACCCTTAAAAAAAATACTTTTTAGGGGCGCCTGGGTGGCCCAGTCGGTTAAGCGTCCGACTTCAGCCAGGTCACGATCTCGCGGTCCGTGAGTTCGAGCCCCGCGTCGGGCTCTGGGCTGATGGCTCAGAGCCTGGAGCCTGTTTCCGATTCTGTGTCTCCCTCTCTCTCTGCCCCTCCCCTGTTCATGCTCTGTCTCTCTCTGTCCCAAAAATAATAAATAAACGTTAAAAAAAAAATTAAAAAAAAATACTTTTTAAATGTTTATTTATTTTGAGAGAGAGTGAGAGAGAATGTGGGGGCAGACATGGAGGAGGGGTAGAGAGAACCTCAAGCAGGTTCCATGCTGTTAGCACAGAGCCTGACGGTGGGCTTGATCTCATGAATTGTGAGATCATGACCTGAGTCGAAATCAAGAGCCTGATGCTCAACCAACTGAGCCACCTAGGTGCCCCCAAAATACTTTTTATTTATTTTTTATTATTTATTTATTTATTTATTTATTTTTTAATTTACATCCAAGTTAGCATATGGTGCAATAATGATTTCAGGACTAGAATCCAGTGATTGATTCATCCCCTATGTATGACACCCACCGCTCATGCCAACAAGTGTCTTCCTCAGTGCCCCCTTTCCCATGTAGCCATCCTCCCACCCACAACCCCTCCAGCAACCCTCAGTTTGTTCTTTGTATTTAAGCATCTCTTAATGTTAAGCATCTCTTAAGTTTTGTCCCCTTCCTTTTTTTATATTATTTTTTCTTCTCTTCCCCCGTGTTCATCTGTTTTATATCTTAAATTCCACATATGGGTGAAGTCATATGATATTTATCTTTCCCTGACTAATTTTGCTTTGCATAATATCCTCTAGTTCCATCCATGTTGTTGCAAATGGCAAGATTTCATTCTTTTTGATCACTGAGTAATACTCCATTGTGTATGTGTGTCTGTGTGTGTGTATATACATATATGCATACATACATACATATGTACACACATACATTTCTTTATTCATCCATCGGTAGACATTTGGGCTCTTTCCATACTTTGGTTATTGTTGACAGTGCTGCTATAAACATTGGGGTGCATGTGTCCCTTCGAAACAGCACATCTGTGTCCTTTGGATAAATACCTAGTAGTGCAGTTGCTGGGTCGTAGGGTAGTTCTATTTCTAATTTTTTGAAGAACCTCCTTATTGTTTTCCAGAGAGGCTGCACCAGTTTGCATTCCCACCAACAGTGCAAAAGAGATCCTCTTTCTCCGCATCCTCGCCAACATCTGTTGTTGCCTGAGTTGTTAATGTGAGCCATTCTGACAGGTGTCAGGTGGTAGCTCATTATGGTTTTGATTTGTATTTTCCTGATGCTGAGTAATGTTGAGCATTTTTTCGTGTGTCTTGGCCATCTGGATGTCTTTTGAAAAGTGTCTATTCATGTCTTTTGCCCATTTCTTCACTGGGTTGTTTTTTGGGTGTTGAGTTTGATAAGTTCTTTATAGATTTTGGATACTGACTCTATCTGATATGTCATTTGCAAATATCTTCTGTCATTCCATTGGTTGCCTTTTAATTTTGCTGATTGTTTCCTTCGCTGTGCAGAGAAGCTTTTTATCTTGATGAGGTCCCAGTAGTTCATTTTAGAAAATACTTTTTCTGTATAGCTAGGTAATGCATAAACTATATGCTAGCCTGCTGTGTTATACCATGAGTGAGGTACTGTTTTCCCATTATGACATCTGGGAAAAATCCCAGGCTTGGATGAGTTCAGCTGCTCCTGTTTGAGCTGTTGAATGCTGGCAAGATAGTCACACCCTATAAATTTAGAGGGGCCTTGGCAGCCCTGCTCTCTTTCCATTATTGCTATCTTGTCATCACCACTCTGGCTATTTCAGACATCCTCTCCTTCCCAGATCTCTGATGCTGCCCTTCCTGAGCTTACGACTTCATCACTCTGGTGACTTTGCCTTTAATGAGAGTTCCTCAGTATACTGCCTCTAAACTTAAAATGCTTAGCTGATTTCTGCATCCATTGTTTTCCCAGATTATTCTCTGCAAAATGATCTTCTAAAATTGATGATCAAATTATTCTGTGGCTTCCCATGGTCTTTGGATAAAGCTTGTCAGTGTCCCTAATATGGCCTTGGCCTCGGCCTCACCTGCCAGTTCTCCAGTATACATTGCACTCCTCCAGCCATGTTGAACTTGGATTTCCTTTTGTATCCAAGCTCTCTCTTCAGGTCAGCCTCGTGTGCATGCCAGTTGGGAGAGCCTTCTCTCACAAATCCCTCTTCTTAATCCTTAGCATAAATGGTGTTTCCTGTCTTATCGCTGCCATAGATGGGTGCTTCTGCTTTTTACTCTTACAGCATATGATTCTTTTTCTGTCATGGCAGGTATCAAACTGTGCCTGTTAGAGGCTCTGGGGGTGGTAGAGAACATACCTGATTTCCTGATAATTGAATCTAGCATATATAGTGTGCAATAAAAATGCTTGCCAAATGAGCAGATTACATGCTGCCTTTTATTTGCTCTTCCACAGTTTTAAAAATTGAATTGGTTTTAAGTTTCTCCCCCCCCCTGTTAAAATAGTTAAAATAAGCATTTTGAACACATAGGATTTCCTTCTGTTTATTTGCTTGTTCAGTAATTTTTTTTTTAAGTTTATTTATTTATTTTGAGAGAGACAAAGACAGCATGAGTGAGGGAGGGGCTGAGAGAGAGGGAGAGAGAATCCCAAGCAGGCTCCTCGCTGTCAGCACAGAGCCCAATGTGGGCTCGAACCCACTTAACTGCGAGATCACAACCTGAGCTGAAACAGAGTTGGACACACACCCCTGAGCCACCCAGGTGCCGCATATTTGTTAAAATAACATTTCCAAGTTTAAGACAGGAGTACTTCCATGAATGTTACATAGTGTCAAATATATTTCAGAAAAATTGTGTTAGTTTATTGTGTGTCCAACTCCATTTGAATGAATAAGCTGAGCCACTCAGGCACCCCTCACAAATACTGGTTTTGTCTACTGATTTTTATATTCTGTTTTCGTGGGTGTGGGGTTTATTATAGTGAACTATATTATTGAAAGTTTTACTTTTTTTTTTAAATTAAAAAAAAAATTATTTTTACATAATCCCTACACCCACTGTGGAGCTTGAACTGATAATCCCAAGACTGAGTTGTAAGCTCCACTGACTAAGCCAACCAGGTGCCCCTAAAAACTTAACTTTCAATCTAAGTTATTTAGACCCTCTACTTTCAACATCGTCTCTGTTTTTTGGTAGCCATTAGGAATAAGAGCAGGCAATGAAAGGAATTTCAGATTGTTCACTTTATGCCCCTTTGGCAGTAATGGTAAAAGGCTTAGTGGAAATGCTGTGGAAATTATCGCCTTCAGTGAGATCTAGCTTTGGGGCCCCTGGGTGGCTCAGGCGGTTATGGGCCATGATCTCATGGTTTGTGAGTTTGAGCCCCAAGTTGGGCTCTGCACTTACAGCACGGAGCCTGCTTGGGATTCTCTGTCTCTCTGTTTTTCTCTCTCTCTCTCTCTTTCTCTCTCTCTCTTTCTCTCTCTCTCTCTCTCTCTCTCTCTCTCTCTCTCTCTCTTTCTCTCTCTCTCTCTTTCCCCTCTGCCCCTCTGTAGCTCATGCTGTATTTCTCTCTCTCTCAAAATAAATAAGCTTAAATTATGTTAAAAAAAAAAATGAGATTTAGCTTTCTGCAGTTAATTTTCCAGTAATCCTTTGTCTTCTCTAGATTGAGTTGTTGCTGCATCACAACTTCTTGAAGGAAGCTTTGGAGGTGGCAGTAGCCGGGACTGAATCGTTCAGAGACTCTGTAACGATGTGGCAGATGAAGCTGCAGGTGCTGATTGACTCCGAGAGCCCCGATGTAGCTGTGCTTTTTGAAGAAGCTTTTGCACACCTGAAAGCCCAGGTCTGTGAACTGGGTCCCTTGTACTTCCTCCTGTTTGGGAAACCTTTTGAGACTCGAGGCAGAGATCCTTTGCAGTGTTGCGTGCCTGACAACGGCTGGCTCCAGAGTGCATTTGTGCCCGGGGGTCAGGGGTCAGGCGTGGAAGGGTTTACTTTGATTTACTAGCCTATTTCTAATTCACTATTTGAAAAATGACTAAATCATATGAAAGTCTTCTGTTTTGATATCTTACAAGTGAGAAATATTAATAGAGAATTATTTTCACTTGCTTCCAAAGATGAACTTAAGCCTGATTTTTATTTTTTTATTTTTAAGCCTAATTAAAAAAAAAATTTTTTTTTAATCTTTATTTTTGAGAGAGACAGAGACAGAGACAGAAATAGCGTGAGTGAGGGGAGGAACAGAGAGAGAGACACAGAATCCGAAGCAGGCTCCAGTCTCCGAGCTGTCAGCACAGAGCCTGACGCGGGGCTTGAACTCATCTCAAGATCATGACCAGAGCCAAAGTTGGATGCTTAACCACCTGAGCCATCTGGACGCCCTTAAGCCTGATCTTTAAACACACACACTTTTTTAACGTTTATTCATTTTTGAGAAAGAATGTGCGCACGGGAGGGGCAGAGAGAAGTGGGGAGACAGTATCTGAAGCAGGCCCTGCACTGAAAGCAGAGAGCCCAATGCAGGGCTCAAACTCATGAAACCTGAGCCGAAGTTGGATGCTTAACTGACTGAGCCACCCAGGTGCCCCTAAACACACGTATATTCCTAAACCTTAAAGCTTTGCAGTGAATCTTTTTTTGTTTGTTTTTAAAGATTTTATTTTTAAGTCATCTCTACACCCAACACGGGGCTCCAACTTAAAACCCTGATATCAAGAGTTGCACGCTCCACTGACTGAGCCAGCCAGGTCCTTTTATATTAACAGGCCCTTTTGCACTTGTGTGGCTTAGTTGGTTAAGCAGCCAACTTCAGCTCAGGTCATGATCTCATGGTTTGTGAGTTCGAGCCCCATGTTGGGCTCTCTGCTGACAACTCAGAGTCTGGAGCCTGCTTCGGATTTTGTGCCTCTGTCTCTGCCCCCTCCCCCATTTATGCTCTCTCTGTCTCAAAAATAAATAAATGTTAAAAAAATTTGAAAAACAAATATATTAGCAGGCCCTTTTATGTTAGTAGGAGAAAAGTGTTCTGGAAGTAAAAGTGGGAAAGTAAAAGTGGGAAAAATTCTTAATTATTTTACTGCTCATTGGTGTGTGTTTCTGAGACATGAATGAAGATGAGATCGTTGAGCCTGGATTGGGTAGTACTTGTGTGGTGGGTCCCCAGACAGCAGAGATGTGACCTGGGTAGCTGTGGGTCTGACCAGCTATGGACTCTTCATTGCTTAGTTCAGAGATGCCTGAGGATAGCTGTAGGCAGTGCTGTCCGGCAGAAGGGAGCCAGCTCTGATAGGAGAGTGCTGCTTTGGGGGTCTTGATCACAAGTCTGTGTGTGCTCTGGCCTCTCATTCCTACTGGGCACTGAGTATTTGGTCACAGCGAGGACAGACTGGGAGTGCATCCATATTTTACATATTGGTTATCTTAGCAGGACCCTGTCTCTGTGGTGACTAGTTTTCAGAGCACAATGCTAGGCCATCATTTTCTAACTTTTTGTTTTTCTTTTTGTGACCAGATTTGTCTACCATTGTGGATTTCTTGGACAGAGTGGAGCGAAGGTGCCAAAAGCCAAGAAGACACTGAAGCCATTTTTAAGGTCTAGGCCCCATGTTGTGAGTCTTGTGGTGGGCAGAGAAAATATGCTTTGATATTTATAAATTTCCTCATGCAGTTTGTCTTTTTTTTTTTTTAATTGTAGAAAGCTCTCTCAGCTGTCAAAGGTGCCGACTCCGTCACTCTGAAGGATAAGTACCTGGACTGGGCTTACCGAAGCGGTGGCTACAAAAAGGCCAGAGCTGTGTTTAAAAGGTACTCTTAGGGGCGCTTGGCTGGCTTAGTCGGTAGAACGTGTGACTCTTGATCTCGGGCTTGTGAGTTTGAGCCCCATGTTAGGTGTAGAGGTTACTTAAAAAAATAACACTCATATTCTTTCATTGCTGTTATTCGTCTCTCCACCCCATACTCAGCCCCTCACACCCAGATTGTGTGTGTATGGCAAATAGTATCTGAGGAAGTAATCCAAGAGACTTTCAAAAAGTCTTTCTTTTTTTTTTTTTTTAAATGGTTATTTAATTTTGAGAGAGACAGGGACAGAGCATGAGCAGAGAGAGAAGGAGACACAGAATCCGAAGCAGGCTCCAGGCTCTGACGTGTCAGCACAGAGCCTGACATGGGGCTTGAACTCGCGAACCGTGTGATCATGACCTGAGCCAAAGTCAGACGCTTAACCAACTGAGCTACCCAGGTGCCCCAAGTCTTTCTTTTTTTGAACAATAAAAGCAGTTCATGCCTATTGTGGAAAATTTAAAAAAAGTAGTTCATGCCTATTGTGGAAAATTTTAAAAAAAGGGTGATAACTAATAACTCATTGTAATCCCATCATCAAGAGAAAAAACACATGGTTAATATATTCTTTAAAGATTTTGTTTTCACTTATTTGAGATTATACTATAATTACATTTTGTTGGTGAACATTGCACTGGCCTTTTCAGTAACAATTCTGCATGAACATCTTTTATTAAACAGAGTTATGTATATACTGCTCTGTCGATGAACCATAATTTATTTGGCTTTAGTGAACATTTCTGTACAAATATTATTTGTCCATGTTGGAAATTATTTCCTTAGAATATATTGTTAGAAGTGGAATTATCGGTCATCTTCAGAAAAGACTTGAGATGTGGCAGAGGGAACTTTAAACTGTAAAAGTGTGGAAGAAGACAACAGGAAAAACTGGATAGGAAGGAGTTTTGTGGGGGTGAGGGGTAAATCATTGGACACTGGTGTTATTGAGTGACTGGTGGTCAAGTCCAGGCCTTGCCCTGCGTCGTGGCCAGGTCTTTATTAAACCATGTATTGTGGAGGTGCAGGCATATGTATTTATTAGATTCATGGGCTGTAAGAGGCTTTGTGTCTTTGTGGAAGGTAACAGTTTTCTCCCTTTATTTTAGTTTGCAGGAAAGCCGTCCATTTTCAGTTGATTTTTTCAGGAAAATAATCCAGTTTGAAAAGGAGCAAGTAAGTGTGCTGTCAGTGTGTTCCTTGTCTGGGCAAATGAATTAATGGTTACCAATCTCTGGCAGCATTTCATCATTTAAAAAGCTCTTCTTATGTACATGGTGTACATTTCTGGTCTCTTCATCTAACCATTTTTCAGAGAGTTGGCTAAGGAATGGTAAGGAAAGAAGACAAAGTACATGTCTGGGAAGTGGAAAGCTCAGCTGTTACCTCATACAGGAAACTCTCCCTGCCAGGTTGGGAGGTGCTGCTTCCTCCCACCCGAGCATCCCATTTGTCTCTTGTATTGGGTTATGAGGTAGATAGTAGGCACTCAGCAACTGTTGCTGGTGGGTTTTTTTTTAAGTTTTATTTATTTATTTTTTTTGAGAGAGAAAGAGCATGTGCATGTGTGAGCGAGGGAGGGACAAGAGAGGGAGAGAGAAAATCCTAAGTAGGTTCTATGCTGCTAGTGCGGAGCCGGATGAGGGGCTTGAACCCATGAACCATGAGATAATGACCTTAAGCCAAAACCAAGAGTCAGATGCTCAACCAACTGAGCCATGCAGGTGCCCCTGTTTCAGGTGGTTTTAACTGAACTTGTAAGTAAGGAAAATTACAAGAAAGTCTCAGTTTAAAAAATAATATAGGAAGGGGTGCCTGGGTAGCTCAGTTGGTTAAGCAGCCAACTTCAGCTCAGGTCATGATCTCGCGGTCTGTGAGTTTGAGCCCTGCATCAGGCTCTGTGCTGATAGCTCGGAGACTGAGCCTGCTTCCGATTCTGTGTCTCCCTCTCTCTCTCTGCTCCTCCCCTGCTTGTGCTCTATCTCTTTCTGTCTCTCAAAAATAAATAAATGTTAAAAAAAATTAAAAAAAAAATAATAGAGGAAAATCCAAATGTGTCTGTAATTCTGTCACAATAATACAGCCAACCATATTTATTTTAATTTTAATTGTTTAACTTTTTTGTTTACACATATACACATAAGATTTTTTTCATGCAAGAATTATTTCTGACATACGTGCCATGTGGAGGTTCTTTCTTCTTCTTCTTTTTCTTTTTTCAATATTATTTTGTAAACACATTTCCTGTGTTTTCACATGGTTATCATTTTTAATGGTTGTAGTATTATTCTTAAACCTGTAGTTTTCTTAACCAGTCCATTACATACAGGTTGTTTCCAGATTTTTGATAATGAAAATAAGAGTGATGTTAAGCATTTTGTTTATACAGCTTTTTTTCCCTTTATTCTTTTGAATAATAATTCAGGTTCTTGAGATAAATTTCTGGGACTGGAGATAATAGTTTTTTTATGGCTCTTTGTAAACTGCAAGATGGTCCTCCCAAAGAAGTACATTTTTAAAATTTGTTTCTTTAATTTTTTTTATGTTTTTATTTTATTTTTGAGAGAGAGAGAGAGATAGAGTGCAAGTGGGGAGGAGCAAAGAGAGCATAATAATAACCAGGCTTCAGATTAATAACATAATAGTTATGTGTCTTGGGCAATTCTAAACCTTGGCATCCTCTTCCATAAAGGAGGTCATGATACTGGTTTCAGAGACGTGAAGGTTACAAGACCAAAAGGGGGTACCACCAAGAAGGGACTTTGCATTGTCCTTTGCCCGTTATGAGCCTTTAACAAAGAGTGATTCTGTTTTTCATGCATGTGTATGACATGAAGTTAAGTTGATTTTTTATAAACGAATAATACAGTGTTAGGTGAAGAGAAAGTTTTTTTTAGTTATTTTGAGTGGGGAAGGGGCAGAGAGAAAGGCAGAGGGAGAGAGAATCCCAAGAACCTGCACTGTCAGTGCAGAGCCTGATGTGGGGCTCAGACTCAAGAACTGTGAGATCATGAGCCAAAATCAAGAGACAGACACTTAACTGACTGCACCACCCAGGTGCCCCTAGTCAGCATTTTAATTTAATACTTGTAGTTGCTCTAAGAGGTATTATTGTTTTATGGGTGGGGAAACTTAAAGTCAGAGGGTTTAAAAAACTCGCTGCAGGTGATATAATTAGTATTTATATAGGCTTTGCTTTCACATAATAAGTTTTAAGGTGGACATAGCTAATATGTGCCAGAGTCCAGATGTGCCAAAGCTACAGGGAGTAAACCTTCCCAATTTACTTACTTAAATCCTCCTCTTCCCTCAGGTCATTCAGATATATTTTCCTGTGAACCTGCCCGTGTTCCCCCAACTGAGAATTAATCAGGCTTTTTTCCATGCTATCATAGCAAAGTGCTTTTATCACTGTTTGACATTGACTTCACTCTGGTGTCTCCTGTATTTTGACTTTCCTCTGAATACGTTGAGAGCCAGGCTGTGTTCATCCTACATCATGAACCTTCTCCCCTACAAATACCTAATGGGTGGTAGCTGTTTAACAATGTGATTGAAATGAATTTGTGACATTCTGAATTAGGCTTTTGAGGCAAGATTGTCTGATTATTTTGTTAGGAATCCTGCAAGATGGTGAACTTAAGAGAATATTATGAGAGGGCTTTGAGAGAGTTCGGATCTGTAGATTCTGGTAAGTAAACTTCAGTTACAGACACGTCTGTTTGCATGTGTGGTCTGTAACCCATCAGTGTGGTTAGAACAGTGTTTAACTCTTTGTGGGTCATGGCCCTTTTTGAGAATAAAGATGGTATCCTGTTACTGCCTGCTCCCTTACTTTGTGCATAAATACTTACAGACATAATTTGGCTTATAATTTCAAGTTCACAAGATGAAGAGTCTGGGTCTTCTTTTAAGAACTCTGGATTAGAGAAAGATTTGCTGGGTTTGATACTCTTAAAAATGTGGTATTTGTAAAGGAAAGGTTAATGTAGGTTAGAATAAGAGTGGGAGTGATAGCAAAGGTGGAGCGGGATACTAATTGACATTAGTTGTCACTGGCTGTTGCCACATTGTCCTCATTGAGGACCCACAAAATGTATTTCTGGCTGTAGGTATGTCATATAAATCCGTTTACTTATGAAGTCAAAAATATTATATAGTGCTTAAATTTAGATTAAAAAAATACGTTAGCTTTTACAAGGTTTTGAGCAGACTTTCTTCTGGTGAGGTGAATGAAAATGGCATTTTTCATAACCTAAGCAAGTTTTATTAAGTATTATAAGAAGGTTATAATGAATTCGTTGAAACTCACTTTCACCTTGAAAGAGACTCAGCAAAATCCTCCTGCTAAAATATTTAGTATTTTTGGTTTATGAAATACGTGGATTGTCTTGATTTAAAATGAAGGTTTTCACTTAAAAAAAAGTTTTGATACTTCTCAGTGTAAAGAAGCTGAGAGAGGCATTGTTTCACATAGGGCTCTAGGGAGATAATAGCAACAAGTTCAGCTTCTTAGAAATCTTATATTGAATCAGTATTAAATAGTTTATATAATAAAGCTTTATCAATGATCTAGTTGTATGTTTCCAGTAATAACATACTGTTTCCCCTTAAAGATCTTTGGATGGATTACATCAAAGAAGAACTGAACCACCCCCTTGGTAGACCTGAGAACTGCGGGCAGATATATTGGCGAGCCATGAAAATGTTGCAGGGAGAGTCAGCAGAAGCATTTGTAGCTAAACACGCTATGCATCAAGCCGGCCATTTGTGACAAGAGGAAGAACGTACCCTGCTTTGGGAAATAGCATTGTAAGCCCTCTTGGCCAGATTTGTATTAGGAGTTCATCTGCAGTTTGTTGAGAGATAGCAGACAAGATGGCTGTCTGATTTTGGGACATGCTTTTTTAGTTTTGTTAGCGTGTTAATTTTTAATTCCAGAAAAGAGAATTGCTATTTAGTGGCAAGAAGCTACTTGTTAAGGTCTGACCTACTACTGTACGGTCCTAAATGTTTCTCAAAATATATGGAAATCATACAACTGAGTTTTTCTTGTTACCCTTGGTCAAGAATGAGTAGCTCTAAACTGTACCTAGGGGCCAGTAATAATGGAGGAGAAAGTACAGTTCCATTTGTTTGTTCTCTCCTTATTAAAAAAGTATACATGGGGCCCCTGGGCGGCTCAGTTGGTTAAGCGTCCGGCTTCGGCTCAGGTCATGGTCTCAGGGTTTGGGAGTTCGAGCCCCGCATTGGGCTCTGTGCTAACAGGGTGGAGCCTGCTTGGGATGCTCTTTCTCTCTCTCTCTGCCCCTCCCCTGAGAGCATGTGTACACCTTCTCTCTCAAAAAATAAACATTAAAAAAAATATTTAAAAAAAAGTATACATGGTGTACATTTGTTGTAGGAAATATAGAGGGAGCAGAGTAATGTGGAGAAGAAATTAAAGCATCCTATAACATCATCATCTGGAGTTAAACTCTGATTTCCTTTATGACATTGGATTTATACTGTTAGATTACTTATTCATTCACTCATTAAGTGCCCACTATTAGCAGAAAAGAAGGGAAGCTTTTGGGATGGAGGTAGGGTTTGGTGGGACAGCTGGACATCCTGAGAGAGCTTGTTGAAGCAGCAGAAGAGGATGCTGGGTATTGGGAAAAGTCCTTTAAGAGGATAAAGACTTTACAAAAGTGTCTTCTGTCTGGGACTAATGTTCAGAGAAGTGTCTACAGTGGGGAGGTCCAGCAACAAAAGGAGGACGTGGGTAGGGTGTAGATGAGAGCAGTAGAGAAGGCCTTCAGAAGCCAGAGTGGAGGATGGCTTGGAGCAGAGAGGGCATTCTGGGAGTAGGGTAGGCTACTGTTTGAATTTTACATCCTTTAACTTAACACTGTGGTCACTGGGAGAAGCATTCACGTCACTGAGAGAAGTGTAGTTTTCCTTAGCAGTATGTTTCACTTATGTTATTTTTCTATGTCATTAAATAGCCTTAAAAACATGTGATGAATTTATAACATTCCATTGTATGGATGAGCCATGACTTATTTTACTAATGCCTTGTGGTTGGATCTTGTATATCTGATTTTTTTCTTATAAATGCTGCTGATGATTCTTATAAATCTTTGTTCACATCCCTGGTTATTTCTTTAGGAGTGTGATATTTGCTGGTAGAATTACTGGATTAAAGGGTGTAACTTTTAAAGATACTGATATGTACTGCCAGTTTGCAATGTATGAGAATACTTTCATGCAATGTAGGAAAAGGTCAATACTTTACCTGCGGTGGGTATTAATGAAGTTTAATGTGTTTTTCTTGGTTCTCTTGTTTTTTTCACGTTGACTATTTTTTGAACTTTTTTCTTACTAATTTAAAAGAATTTTTAAAATATTAAGAATATTAATTTTTAGTTTGTCTCTCCTTTGTTGCAAATAATTTGCCCCTAGCTTTTTTTTTTTTTTTTTTGTGGTGTTTTTTGATGCCCAGAAGATGTGTGTGTATGATACCTATTCCTCTTGCCTTAGACAACTCATTTTCTTCCCCCCAACCACTTAACGAAATTTTCTACAACACCATTTGTGGCTAGCCCTTTATCTCTACTGATTGTGGTACTACTTTTATTATATGTTGAGTTCCTAATGATATGAGAGTCTATTTTAGGGCATTTTTACTTTGAGATTTTGTACTCTAAATGTTGTTTGCTTGTCATTTGTTGTAAAATAAGAACAGTTTCCTCTTTGACCTTTTCATGGAGTCCTGGGAAGTTTAACATTCCCAATCCCGACATGGCATTTTTGTTTCAGGAGGGAGATACATGCTTGTAAGAGATGAGAGTGAGGAGGGTGGTGGTTGGCTCCTTAACGCAAGGCGATGAAGGTGGGTCACCTGGGATCATCCCAACACCTAGGTTTGGGGCTCGTTATGCAGGTTGCGAAGGTGCATCTGGCTAGTTCACCTAGACCTGCCATGTGTGGCAATTTACATCTAATGAAATTATTTTCTCATTTACGCTGGCCACATTTCGAGTTCTTGATAGCCACACGTTTACCATAGTGGACAGCACAGATAATAGAGCTTTTATTTCTGCCATTGAAAGTTCTATGGGAGAGTGGTGACCTGGATCCAATTAGATTTGGGGAAACTGACTCATGGATCAGAACAGCTCACACATTAGTTGGCCACATTCTTTTCCCTGCAGGAAGGTCTACATAGAGGAGAGAAAAAATACTGTGTATCAGCGGTTACCCTAATTTTTTTGTAGTAAAAACTTTTATTTAAATTTTTAAATTTGAGTGTGGTTGAGACAATGTCAACATTAGTTTCATGTGTACAACAAGGATTCGACAACTGCTGTGTGGCTGTGCTCACCACAGCATGGCCACCAGCTGTCACCATACAGGTCCACTACAATACCATTGACTGTATTTCCTGTACTGTATCTTTTATGCCCATGACTTACTCATTCCACTACTGGAAGCCTGTATCTGCCACTTCCCTTTACCCACTTTGCCTCTCCCCCCACCCCCATAATGCTAGTTTTGTTCAAATGTCTTTTATGGTTTATAAACACATCCTTACAGGGAGATGAAGGAATAAGCTCCCTAATGTCCCGAAAGGTTGTCATAAAGTGGCCTAGTGAGCAGGGAATCCCAGCTTCTAGCTTTTCTATTTCATTCTTAAAATGAGTATCACACCCTGAGCACCGGTATGTTATTAAGAGTTTAGGCAGCGTGGGGAAAGGCAGGGAAGGGTTCCTCCCCAGCTCAGGCCCTGCCGATCTGCTACTGCCCTCAGCTTGTAGAGGGCCAGACTTTGAGCATTAAAAAATTGGAGCCCAGCCAGACCACAGTGACAGCACCAAATGTTTAGGGTTACTGTGACCGTCATACCGTGTCTGGACATCGTTTTCATCATCTGTCCTGGTTTCTAAGAACTGTCATTAAGTAAACGTGGAGAATCACTGAGCTGCTGAGCTGTCTCATCCATTTGTGGGTGGGTTATAGCCCAGTTCCAGCCTGAGTTTTACGGAAACCTGTGACAAATGTGGTTGGGTCTAAATTGCATTCAAACTTTTGAGAGCTGAGCTTTGTAGACTATCAGGTAGACTCGGGTAATTGATTAGTCTAACCAGGGATTCGAGATTTGGGGGCTGAGGCACATCATCAGCGTGGTGGGGTAGGGATAACAGCTGGCATTTCAGACCCTGCTAGTCGCCAGCCCTGGGATGTGCACCGGCAGGAGCAGGAGCACGAGGAGCGAGAAGAATCAGAACCCGGGACCCTAGGCAGGGGGCTTGGCTGTCGGGCGCGCCCCGCCCCTCCCGCGCCGCCCCGCCCCTGGCTTCCTCGTGACCCGTGTCCCGCCCCGCTCGGCCGGGAGCACCCCCGGCTGATTGGCCCCTCCGCGGCGTATCCTCCGGCTGGCAGCCAGGCGGGCGCGTCACGTGGCCGAGCAGCGTCCAGGGCGCGGAGGCGCGGGCCGCCAGGCATGGACCGTCAGGCCGCCGGAGCCCGGGCGCTGGGGGCCGCCGAGCCGCCTCGGGGGCCGCCGCTGCCGAGCGCGAGGGAGGCGCCCCCCAGCCCGGGGGTGAGCGCGGCCGCCGCCTGCGGCGAGGGGCGGGAAGA